CCGGGCAGTCCCTGCCTGGCTGAAGTCCCAGGCCCAGACCCCGCCCTCTGCCGCCTGCTGCAGGCTCCTTCCTAGGCGGCCAGGCCCTGGGAACTGGACCCACCTCCATGCTGCAGCCGGGGCGCCTGGGGACCCAACTCAGCCACTTACCACCCAAACCCCCTGCACGCCGATTCTCTCTCCTTTCATCTCCAACAACACCCACCTCTTAAAAGTGCAGTACAGACCTCATGCCCATTTTGCATCTTCCTAACAGACTTGGAGCACCTTGGGGGCAGTCTGGACCCCGTCAGCTTGGTGTGTCCGAATCACTTTCACTGCTCTCAGTGACCCCCAACCTCTAGAGGGGCTCAAGAAATAACGACAGGATCCAGTGGAAACTGTCCCCAGGGCCCATGATGTTATGCTCGTGTTGACACAGAGGCAAGACTCCGTCCATGCCAAGGCCCGGGTGGAGCTAGTTCTTATCAAGAAATGGGACGCGACCTATTACATCTTCCCTGCGCTAATGTATGCAGATCGTGGTACACCCGGAATCACTCTTCTAGGGGAAAGGTCTGGCCTGCAGCAGCAAAAACATTACTTAGTGGGGCGTCACTTTCACCCAGCTCTCACTCGCCCGCTGCACTCGCTCTCTGACTGCCGTCGTGGGGGGCTTGGCTGTCCCCATCCTACAGACTGGAAACTGATGTGTCGAGAGGCAGCAGGACTCAACTCTGGGGCCGCTTGCCTCCAGAGCCCCGAGTTCCAATGCCTCTGGGCTACCACGCTGTCTTCTGTTGGGGGCGGGGTGTCCCCGCTGACTTCCAGGTGTGTTCCAGGTGGGCTGGAGGGGGCGCTGGGAAGCTGGCGTGTGCTGTCCAGGAGTGACTGCTCTGGCCACGCCTCTGCCTGGGCACGCTTCTCAGGCAGGAACACCGAGAAAGCAGAATGCCCCCTCGGCCATCACAGCGGGAGGGGTCAGCCCCTCCCTCCCACCCCAACACCAAGGCGGCCGCTCCCTGCGCCCACTGTTCTCCCTGCTAGGTGGGGCCCAGCAACGCCAGCCAGCTCGCTGCTCACACCCACCGACACCAGGCCAGCCAGACACCAGAGCCCGCAAGCTCCCACACCGCCAGGCGCTCCACGCCCCCTCAGCCCGCACTTCCCACGGAAACGCTTACGGGCACACGTGGCCTCACCCATGTGCAATCCCTGGGCAGCCCCTCCGCGGTGACAGCCTCACCCCTGCTCATCTCTGCCTCCATCTCGGCCCCGGGCGCCGGGTCTTTCCTGCCGAACACCTCCTTCCTCCACATCACCTCCCAGGACTCCCACACTCCTCAGCACCCCCCACAGAGACCCCCGGAGTGGGGGCAAGCAGTTCACTGGGTCTCCCCTTCCACCCCGCAGATTCTTCCAGCCAGAGCAGGATCAGAAATGAAAATCAAGATTAAAACAGTTTTCAGCCCTGCCCGCTGGGGAGGTGACCACATCCTGCTGGGCCCGGGCTCGCGGTTCTGAGACATTCATCTCCCCTGACCACACGCTCATTGATATTTCCCCAGCGCCGCTCGTCCGCCCAGGGCCGCAGCGCAAGATGTCGCCGTGAGAGCTGGGCTCAGGCGCGCCCAGGTGCCCTAGGCCTGCGGGCGGGGAATGGCGGGTGGCGGCTGTGCCCCCAGTGGGAACCTCAGGCCCTGTGCCCCCAGGTTCCTCTGCCCAGAGAGGCCTGCTCCCTGGCACCCCCGAAGCACAGCAGCTGGGCGACGTGATTTATGAGTAGCCGAGGAAGGACAGGTTGCCAGCAGCTGAGTTCAGCAACTTTGGGTGCAACATGGGTGAAGCAGTGGGACACAGACTGAGTGCGCGAGTGGAAAGGCTCAGCCTGAGAGCGCAGAGCCCCTGACCACTTCACCGTCCCCACCCGGCCTGGAACCTGCTCCACGCTCGTGCAGGGGCACAAGACAGAGGTGGCGACCTGGCTGGGCTCCTGCCGGCCTCAGACCCACAGGACTCCGAAGTAAGACTCAGCCCTGCTTTTGGGGAACAGAGGCCAATTCCTCCTCTCAGCAGCTCTGATCTGTCCCACCTGCCACCCAGCTCTGCTGCACAGAGCCCCAGCATCCCAAGCAGATGGCAAGGGGTGGCTGCAAGGGCTCCCGGAGCCCCAAACCATACGGCTGAGCCACAGTGCAGAACAAACAGGCGGAGGTGTGGAGGGTGAGCTGAGGGGACCGGGAAGAGGAATGTGCATCCCGGGAGGCCGGAGGCTTCCGCTTAAGGACGTGCACTCAGGAGAGCTTTCCACACAGGAACTGAGTGCTGGCAGCTCCTGGGGACACAGAGAAAGGCCCTGCTGAGGGTGTGGGACAGCCCCCGGCAGCCCTCGGATGTCAACCAGGGAATGAATGGCCGAGGAAGCCGGCTGCACTCACGGGGCAGGGTGGGTCCCTTAGCCTGGAAAAGCCAGCTCACCGCCCTGGCAGGGGCCGGGCCGGGCCCTCCTCCGTCTGCCCACGTGGTTTGACACTGCAGCCAGGACACGGGGAAAAACTTTTTGCCTTGGGGAACCAGCTTGTGACAGAGGTTCTGTCGAAGGAATGTTCCAGAAACAGGCCTTCCCACGGGAAGCCTCCCAGCTGTGGGGTCTCTCGCTCAGACTGTGCACGCGGTCTCTCTGAGGGCGGGCCCTGGCGGCACGAAGCAGGGCAGCTGCCCCTGGGCTTCCGCACCTGGGAAGGTCCTTCCAGGGAAGGGGCCGCGGGCAGCCTAGGGCTTCAGGCCACGCTCTGCAGCTCGTTCTCCTTGCTTCTTGTGTGTGCCTGACAACACCCCCCTCCCCAGTCCTGCCATGCAGCCTCAGCCGCCCTCGCAGGACCACCAGCCTGCTTTTTGCAGGCCACAGCCCCCAAAGGCTACACGACTGCTCCCCACCCCCATCCTCAGAAGCAGGAGCCAGAGGAAATTCTCAAGAGAAAACATATACTTCCAAGTCTCCCTCCCACACAGGTACCCCAGATCTGTCAGCCTCACGCAGTCCGAGCCCCGCGCGGCCCATGGGGTGAGTGTGCGGCCGAGCTCCCGCCTCCGGCCGGCTCCGGCCACTCCTGCAGGACTCCAGTCACTGCGGCCCCACTCTGGCCCATCCTCGGGAGACCTGGGGCCCGGTTCCAGCTCAGCAGCTGACTCACAATGCCAACAGATCCCACTCTCCCCACCAGGAGCCTTTGTGCTCGGCCCTCTAGTGCCCCGGGACTGGCCCTGGCCTTCGGCTGCCTTCCTCCCCATCCCCATTCCCGGCTTCTACTCCCGCGGTCTCCCGCCCTGGGCTCTTTACCTGCTGAGAACCCCTGACCTTTGTACAGCCTCTCAAAATCTACAGGCCACATGCATGGGCTTTTTTCCTCCTCTGCGACCACCTCAGGCCGTGGCTCCGGGAGGCAAATTCACCTGCTCAAGGTCACACCGCCGAGACTGGGATCCAAGTTTTCTGGCTCCATGAGCACCAGGCACTCCAGCTGCAAACTGTCTCGCTCAGAAGCACCTCCAAGTACCCCCCACTGGCAAAGGAGCTGCCTCCTGTGCCCTCAATGCTCTTTCTGGACTCCTCCATGTCTTCCCCAGACTCAGCCCAACCTCACCCCATTTGTTTGACCCCAAAAACGCTTGCCCAGGAGAGTCACGAAGACTTAAAGATTTCCTGAGATTTCTCGGGGGGGTCTGCTGACCCCTTGCTGAGTGGAACAACGCGTGACACTGTGTGAGACCCTCACCCAAAGCTCCCCGGAGGATGGTGCGGACACGCAATCCTAGCCCGCTGCTGCAGACTCGTCCAGCAAGGCGCCCAAGCATCGGAGAGGGGCAGCCCCTAGGCAGCCACGAGCGCATGGACACCAGGCCAAGCCCAGCGACTTGGGAGACACATCGGCGCGCACCTGTCCTGCCTGATGACCGGACCCTTGTCAGTCCCACACAATTCTCAGGACACGCACTCAGGGACAGTGACCACCTACGAGGGCCAGCCACCCCTCCCCTCCCCTGCCCCTGCCCTGGCTGGAATCCACTCTAAATCAGCATCCCTACTCCATGCCACCCGGTGCCTGCAGCCTCAGACCCGAAGGGCTCCCAGGAACAGCTCAGCTCTGCTGCCTGAATTCATGAGCCAGGACAATTCATGAGCCAGGATCTGGACAGGCCTGTCTGGTCACCACCAAGGTTCTCGTGATAGCAGCATCCCCTGACATCTGTTTCTCATGTCCATTATAAAGGACACCAACCTTCTCCCAGCTTTTGCCCGCCTCTGGTCAGGGTATCCCGCAGGCATTACAAGTGGCCCCCTGAAACCAGGGTGGGAGGATGGGCACTGACCCTCTTGATCCACCAAGGTCTGAGGGCCCTGGCCACAGATTCTTCCCAACAGGGCTGGGCAGCCCCTGGCACCCCTGCGTGCCAAGGCCATTTCTCACAGTCACACGGGGAACTCCCACCATGCTGAGGACACCAAAGCCTCAAGCCGCGGCCACTGCTGGTCCTGACCATATCAAGGCCAGAACCATCAACATCCAAGCAGAGAGAGCTCCTCACGCCCATGCCAGGCGCACCCCATGTGTCCACGAGAGGACC